CTCTGTTATATTCCCTCACTATGAATTCTATGTGCCTCTTTTTGTCCAATTCAAATCTCTTTGCAACTTTCATTCGGTCACAGAATTGTTACTGTTCTTTCTATTTAAACAATGTAATTTGAATATCACTTCCTCTATGCATATTTTCAAGTAATTGACATATAGAGACATGCAGCACGGAAACAGACCACACAATGAATAGATGCAGCCCCGTGTTACCTAGTCAAACAACTTCCTCAAAGTCCGTGTGGATCAGATCCACCGCATTTGCTTCACCCATTTCCAATATTAACCCACCATAAATAATCTCAACACTTTTGACAAATAACAACCAAAATTAAAAACATTTGACAGTAATAAATAACTCTTCAAGAATTTTTTTTAAATAGCTGAACCAGTGGTTTTGCAGACAAGAATCAAAGTTTGCAGGTCCAGTGGGTTGTTGACAAGAACGTTTTTCACATTAATTGCGTTGGGTCTCCAAGCAACCGATCAAGATCCCAGATGAAGAACAGTCGGTGTACTAATTTTAAAAAATATCTACTCAAATGCATAATTTTCGATAAATCAAAGCAAGAGTATGACATGACTTCTACTGTCAAGATCATCACATTGAACTAGATTCCAAAGACACTGTTTTTGTGTCAATACCAACACTTCTATTCTGTCAACAAAAGAAGCGCACAGCCTTGTTTTACTTCCATAAGACATGTTATTTGGGAGGTTGAATGCTAACAGTACACCACAGGTCAACCAACAGGCAAAAGAAGAATCATTACTTTTCTTTCTGGCCCCTGTATGTTTTCCAAAGCTGGCCTATGTTACCCAAGCATGGGGGAGGATCATGACCTGAAACACAAGCTTGTATTGGAACGTTTAAACTGCAACATGTGTAAAATTACGCATGGTCATTTTTTCATTGCTGCAGCCAATGCCGTGAAATATATTTTGCAGTATAAATATATTGTATTGGTATACTTCAGAAGTACTTGAAGTACAAGTCATTCTGCAAAATAAATGTTAAACTCCATTTCCCTGAATGGACATCAAACACTCTAAGTAGAAACACTCAGATAAAGCAGTCAGATTTTCATGCATATGCAGTCTTTCTTGTATTGCCTTGATAACTGACTCATATATAGAGAGGGAAAAACACAAACAATTAATCCACTATGACAGGCTTGTGGGGTAAAAGAGGTTGAGTAAAAAGTTTACAAAATATGTTTCTCTTTACCTTGTATCTTCATATACATATTCTCACATTCAAATCAATTTTTAAATTTGCCAACATTCATTTCACTTCTCCTTGAGTTAGAAACACTTTTAGGTGAGGACAATCTGTGATAATTATCTGTGTCAAAAAATATTTCAAAGTAAATTCCTCAGAACTTCAAAACACCAGGTTCCCTGATAAAACATATCTTTTTGATTTATTCTATCCCAGGCTACCTCCTGAGAATTCACTTTCATTTACTAGATAATCCCACTGCCCTAAAACCAGTTTTTGCTTCTCCATCATCAATCCACCTCCCAGTCACCCAACTACATCATACTTATTGTTAAAATTAAAATGGACAGCAATAACATTTACAGCAATTTGGTTCAGCAACATCAACAAGGAACGTACTCTAAACATAGAAGAGTTGCCAGCTCAACTCAAAATATAACCATGTCTTTTTACGATTCCCAATTTAAAAAAAAAACTACTTATCATGTCTTCTTGTTAAAAACTGCAATAACATAGTTCTTCAACATTATCACTGGATTTTCTCTGGCTGCTCAAACATCAGATTGCCAATGATAGAAATACTTGGAATATGCCTACATAAAATATTTGAAGATTTTCAGCCTCGCAAAAAGACCAAATTTATATTTACAGAGCACCTTTCACAAACTCAGGACATCTCAGTATGGTTGGCAGCCAATTGAGTACTTCTTGAAATGCTGTCACTCTCATCATGTACAAAAAGAGGCAATGATAACTAAAAAATGTGTGCTCACAATAGTGAAGAACTGCCACTGAGTGATTCTACTTCCAGCCTTTTCAGATATCTTATGGGACAATAAAATGGGAAGATGAGCGGTCAGAACCTTTTGAGAACTGAAAATATTTCATATTTATCCCTGGTCTGTTTTTCTCATTACTTTATCTTTTCTTCCACGTTATCATATGCTTCTCTCACTTTATCTTGAGTCTACCTGTTCATTTTGTATATCTCCACTTTATATCTAATGAGTATTTATCCCGTTACACTTTTATCCTATCTTCTCTATTCTTAGCTGCCTTTATCCACTTTAACCCATGTCTCCCTCTCCATGTAGAACACATACAGCACAACAGGAGATCATTGTCTTTGTAACGGGCAAAAGAAACCCAACAATTTGTTCCTGGCCTGCAGCCCAGCTCAATACATCAGCTCGTGCATATTCCAGCTTCATTCTAAAAGTGCCAAGCACGCCTGCCAACTTTCACACCATAAAACACAGGGGCAGAAATATTCTATGTCTTGTCTGACATTCAATGAGATCATGGCTGATCTGATAATTCTCAACTCCATTTTCCTGCCTTTTCCCTATAGTCCTTGATTTCTTTAAAAATCTGTCTATCTCAGCCTTGAATATACATAATTACCACAGAGTGCTGTCAAGGCTGGGTCAAGAATTCTATAGATTCACTATCCTCATGGAATAGATTTCTCCTCAGCTTTGTCTTAATTGGACACCTCCTTACTCTAAGGTTATGCCCTTTGGTCCCAGACTCTCCCACAAAGGGAAACAACCCTTCTACATTTGCCCTGTGAAATCCCCAAACAATCCTGTACATTTCAACAAGGCTATTGCCAACACTTCTAAATTTCAATGAGCTCAACCTACTCAATTTCTCCTCATAAGACAGTTCATCCATTCTTGGTATCGACCAAGTGAACCTTCTCTGGCCTGCTTCCAATGCCAGCCTATTTCCTTAGATAAGGGGGCCAAATCTCTTCACAGTATTACAGCTGTGGTATAACTAGTGCATTGTACAGTTTTAGCAAAGCTTCCCAATCTTTATGCTTCGTTTCCTTTGAAATAAAATACTGCATATTCTTTCCCTAGTACTTGCTGAACTTGTATGATAGCTTTTTGAAATTCATGCATGAGGACTCCATGCAGTAGCTTCCTGCAGTCTTTCTCCATTTAAATAATATTCCACTCATATTGTACTTGCCAAAGTGCAGAGCCGCACATTATATTGCTCACTCACTTAACCAGTCTGTATGCATCTGTAGCCTTTTTGTACCATTTCAATATTTGTCTTTCTACCCTGTTTTTGTGTTATCTGCAAACTTGGCTCTAGTATATTAAGTTTCCTTGTCCAAGTCATCAATATGTATTGTAAATAACTGTGGCCCCAGTACTGATCTCTATGGAACTCTACTAGTTACAGGCTGTCATCCCGAGCATACACCTCCCCCTCGCCACCCTTATCCCAACTCTGTCTTCTATTAGATAGCCAATCCTTTGTTCATGTACCTTATTCAATGCCTTCTGGAAATCCAAACACATGATATCCACTGCCTCCTCTTTATTCAAGATCCCCAGGTTTGCGTCCCTGTTCCTCAACATTATTCATTATTCTATTCATAAAATCCCTACAGTATGGAAGCAGGCCATTCTGCCCATCAAGTCCACACCAACTCTCTCAAGAGCATCCCATCCAGACCCACCCCCAACTCTATCCCTGCATTTCCCACCCTGACCCACCCCCAACCCTATCCCCGCATTTCCCACCCTGACCCACCCCCAACCCTATCCCTGCATTTCCCACCCTGACCCACCCCCAACCCTATCCCTGCATTTCCCACCATAGGCACTATTGGCAATTTAGCATGGTCAATCCACCTAACCTGCACATCTTTGGACCATGGGAGGAAACCGGAGCACCCGGAGGAAACCCATACAGACACGGGGAGAATATGCAAACTCCACACAGACAGTCACCTGAGGCTGGAATCGAATCCAGGTCCCTGGTGCCGTTAGGCTGCAGTGCTAACCACTATTATTTGTGTTCTCTTGGCTTGTCCTCCTTTCATGAATACTCTCAGACTTCTTAACATTAAATATCATTTGCAACATTTCTGCAAACCTTGCCAATGCAATGGACTGATATGTCTGCGTAATTACAGTTTCCTTCCACACTATTAACCACATGATAATTTTTTTGTATCTCTGTCTACACTTTATTCCGTTAGTCTGTCTCTTAATTTATGCCAGGTATCTCTCTCTACATATTATCAGCCACATCTATATATCTCCCTCTTGCAACTTCATTCCATCACTTTCTCTATTTTATCCTCCACTCATGTGTTGCTGCCTATCCTCTCTCAATTTATCTGTATCCCTTCTCACTCACACATTAACCCAAACCTCCCACTCTCTACACATCCCACATTTTCTCCACTCCTGCACTCTCCTCTCCATTTCCTCTTAATCCCCTCCCTCAGACCCACACTGCCTCCACTCCGGAATAGCTTCGACCTGTACTGTCAGGATTCTGGTTCTCTCCCTTTCTCTCCTTCCATTTTGCCCTCCGCTCCACCATCCTTTCCAATCTCTCTCTCCCGTTCCCTTTTTTCTCTTTCCCTCCTTCCCTTCTCTTTCCTCCCTCCCCACTCTCTCTCCGCCTCTCTACGCCCTCCCCTCTCCCCTCCCCCCCCCCCCCGCCCCCCCCTCCCCCCCACCCTCCCCCTCTCCCCCCCTCATCCACCTCCCATTCACCACCCCGCCCCCTGCCTGAGCTGCTGAGGTTTGAAGTTTTGCGCCAAGGCCCCTCTCCTTTCACTGACTCGGACAGAGAATTAAAAGTATTTTTCTGAGGCGGGTTATATCCTGAACTCGGGGCTTGTGAATGTATTTACAAGATGAATGTGGGTGAAAGAGCAGCCGAATTTCTGAAGTGCGCGCAAAGCGGGGACCGGGTTAAAAGTGAAACGGTGGACGTTCCGCTGCCGGGACCTTACCCTGCGGCACCAGCAAGATGGCGGCGGCGACCGGCGGCACGGCGACTCGCGCGAGACTCAGGACGGAGCCTGGCGCTGTCACACCAAGAGGGGGCAGCAGAGAGCAGCTAGAGCAGCTCCCGGGATAGCACTGCAACTCTGGCAGCGTCTGGGACGCTTCTTCAAAACTCTGTTGACCTGCTGAGTTTCTCCAGCGATTTCTGTTCAAGATATCCAGCATCCGCGGTTCTTTGCTTTATTCCAAGGCAGCCCAAAGTCCCAGAGCAAAGGAAATTTCTCACGCCGAATTTTTGACACCTAGCCACGTAGGAAATATTAGTTAAGGACAGATGACAAAAAGTTTAGACAAGAGGTAGATTTATTTAGCAATTGCATACCACAAAACTTTCCAGAAAAGTAATAAAATGCCAGAGATATTCGACAGCTCTGGCAGCAGAGACAACAAGGTGCAGAGCTGGATGAACACAGCAGGCCAAGCAACATCAGAGGAGCAGAGAGGCTGACGTTTCGGGCCTAGACCCTTCATCAGAAATGGGGGAGGGGAAGGGGGTTCTGAAATAAATAGGGAGAGAGGGAGATGCGGATAGAAGATGGATAGAGGAGAGGATAGGTGGAGAGGAAACAAACAGGTCGAAGAGGCGGGGATGGGGCCAGTAAAGGTGAGTGTAGGTGGGGAGTTAGGGAGGGGATAGGTCAGTCCAGGGAGGACGGACAGGTCAAGGGAGCGGGATGAGGTTGGTCGGTAGGAGATGGGGGTGCGGCTTGAGGTGGGAGGAGGGGATAGGTGGGAGGAAGGACAGGTTAGGGAGGCGGGGACGAGCTGGACTGGTTTTGGGATGCGGTAGGGGGAGGGGAGATTTTGAAGCTTGTGAAATCCACATTGATACCATTGGGCTGCAGGGTTCCCAAGCGGAATATGAGTTGCTGTTCCTGCAATCTTCGGGTGGCATCGTTGTGGCACTGCAGGAGGCCCAGGATGGACATGTCGTCTGAGGAATGGGAGGGGGAGTTGAAATGGTTCGCGACTGGGAGGTGCAGTTGTTTATTGCGAACCGAGCGTAGGTGTTCTGCAAAGCGGTCCCCGAGCCTCCGCTTGGTTTCCCCGATGTAGAGGAGGCCACAACGGGTACAGCAGATGCAGTATACTACATTGGCAGATGTGCAGGTGAACATCTGCTTGATGTGGAAAGTCTTCTTGGGGCCTGGGATTGGGGTGAGGGAGGAGGTATGGGGGCAGGTGTAGCACTTCCTGCGGTTGCAGGGAAAAGTGCCGGGTGTGGTGGGGCTGGAGTGGAGTGTGGAGCGGACAAGGGAGAGAGTGGTCCCTCCGGAAAGCAGATAAGGGTGGGGAGGGAAAGATGTCTGGGAGAGAAAGCAGAGTCAAGCAGTGACCCTTCTTCAGAACTGTCAGTAGGTAGGAAAAGGTGACATATATATGGAGGACTCAGGATGATGGAAGGAGTAAGCAAATGGATGAAGATAGAGCCCAGAGAGAGAGAGAAAGACAGGCAAAGGGATGGATAATGGTAAGGTAGGGAGAAAGAAAAGCTAATAATGGGGACCATAAGTGGGTGAGAATGGATTGGATATGTTGAAAACAGCCCATGTCATATCAGGGCCAGGGGTGTGCGTGTGGGTAACCTCAAATTATTTAACTCAGTCCTGAAAGCCACAGGATCCTCGAGTGGAAAATGAGATGTCGTTCTTCCAGCTTGCTCTGAGCTTCACTAGAGCATTGCAGCAAGCCCAGACAGAAATGTTGGCTAGGGAACATTGTGCTGTGTTGAAGTGGCAGGTAACTGGGAGCTGGGGGTTATTTTAGCAGACAGAATGTAAGTGTTCCATTTAGCATTCACCCAGTCTGTTTTTCAGCTGTCCAGTGTAGAGCAGATCACATTGTGAGCAGCGAACAAGGTAGACTAGATTGTGTAAATCACTGCCTCACCTGGAAGGTGTGTCTGCAGTCTTGGACATTGAGGATGGAGAAATAAATAAGCAGGTGTTTCACCATCTTCAATTGCACAGGAAGATGCCATGGGTATGCTGGAAGTGGAGGAGGAGTGGACTACAGTGTCCTAGAGGGAATGGTCCCTGCAAAATGTTGACAAGGGAGGAAAGGGGAATATGTGTCTGGTGGTGGCATCCTGCTGGAGATGGCAGAAATGGCGGCTTATGATCCCTAAGGAACTTTTTAGAATTTTAGAACCTGAACTCCTTCCTCTATGTCCTTTACCCACCCCATACCCTTGGTCCTATCATGACATGGGCTGCTTTCAGTATAGCCAACCCACTTTCACCTACTTATGGTCATTATTATCAGCTTTTCTTTCACCCTGACTTATCATCATTCATCCTTTTGTCTGCCTAACTGTCTTTTTTGCTCTCCTGTTCCACTCTCTGTCTTTAGCATATATACCATCTATCCTAGCTATTAATAGTTATGAGAAAGGGTCATTGGATCTAAATGTTAACTTTATTTTCTCTCGACAGATGCTGCCAGACCTCCTGAGTTTCTCCAGCAATTTCTGTTTTTGTTTCAGATTTCCAGCATCTGCAGTTCTTTGTTTTATCTTATTAGAGTAAAGAGATCTTCAGAAATAAGGGACACTTCTACATGCTGTGGAATTTTTAAATATACATTTTCTAATCAATTATTCAGTTTTTGGAGCAGGTGGGACTTGAACTCAGGTCTCTTGACACAGATGTAGGGACACGACACCACACCACACCACAGGGAACCCCTACTGTAGAGTTTTTGACTGCCATTGCCCCTTCACGGGTAAACACACTAGCGCTCCTAAAACTGAGAAATTAGTTAAGTGTGGCTATATATTCCCTAATTTTGCCAAATTCTTGGATGTATTCATGTGACATTCAATCACCAACATTATCCACCCAGCAGCTAAGGAATGGCCAGTGAGGGTGTGAGAGAGGCAGGAATCCTCAAGACATTTAAAACATATTTAGATGAACACTTCAAGCACCATAGCATACAACAGTAATAGGCCACATATTGGAAAACAGGATTAGAACAGATGGTTGGATCTTTGAATACAGTTGAAAACACGATGGGCTGAAGGGCCTCTTTTTATGCTGTGAAAGCTCTATGATTTAGGAGTGCTGGTGGTGGGAGGTTGATGGGTTCTATGATCACTCATTGGGGTAGTATGATTGCTTAGTGGTTAGCACTGCTGCCTGACAGCACCAGGGACCCAGGTGACTATGTGGAGTTTGCACATTCTCCCCGTGTCTGAGTGGGTTTCCTCCAGTTTCCTCCCACAGTCCAAAGATATGCAGGCGAGGTGGATTGGCCGTACTAAATTGCCATTGTGTCCAGAGATTCGCAGGCTAGATGGATTAGCTACTGGAAATGCAGGGTTACAGGGATTGGGTGGGTCTGGGTGGGATGCCCTTCGAAGGGCTGGTGTTAACTCAATGGACTGAATGGCTTGCTCCCACACTATAGGATGTCTATGAAAGAAAACTGCTCCCCAGTGAGCATCAATGGAAAGAAATGAGCTCTACATCAGTAAATACAGCCAGTGATGGCCATCCATATCCATATAATTTAATTTGATTTATTATTGTCTCATGTACTGAGACACAGTGGAAAATATTGTTTTGTGTGCTATACAGGCAAATCATACCTTACATCAGTACATCAGGCTAATAGAGCAGAATGCAGAATATAGTGTTCCAGCTACAGAGAAGGTGCAGAGAAAAATCAATTTTAACATATGAGAAAACACGTTCAAAAGTCTGATAACTGCGGGGAAGAGGCTATTCTTGAATCTGTTAGAATGTGTCTTCAAACTTTTATTTCTTCTGTACGACTGAAGAGGGTGGAATAGAATATAGCCTGGGTGGGAAGGGTCCTTAATTATGTTGGCTGTATTCCCAAGGCACCGTGAAGCATAGTTGGAGTCAATGGATGGAAGGCTTGTTTGTGTGATGGACTGGGCTGCGTTCACAACTGTAATTTCTTGCGGTCTTAGGCAGAGCAGTTGCCCACTGAGATCGTGAGAGTTGATGCTGATGACAACTTATCTGGTAATAAAGGATCATGATTTTCGCTCATGGACATCAGGCTATGTGTTTGTGTGAGTGTGCAGCACACTAGGTGGCTGACACCTGAGGTCAAAGTGTAATACAAATGGGCTTAAGTGACCAATTGAGCAGAACCTAACATTGATAGTCACTATGTGTATGACGCAGATACATGCAGACAAGGAGGTCAATTAGCAGTTGTTACACAATGAAATCTTCACTTTCTCCTGTAGAGCAAGCTGATTCATAATCAGAGACAAAGGTTGAAGACAGACAGAGGCTTGCTGGGTCTCAAGTTCTAACCATCCCCCATGCTGTGCAAGAATCCCCCTGGATAGTGGGAAAACAGAGCGGCTGAGTCTTAGCTGACAGCTAGGCAATTAAGGCATCCAACCTGCTGCTCTCAGGACCTATGCTGTGTCCATGGACCCTGTGGAACCATAACATTCTTCTTTTTGTTCTCCTTTACACATCCCTCCATTCCTGCACCCAGTTTCAGCATTCCTATTTTTTCAGAGTTTGTATTTTTTGGATCAGATCCTAACTGAATGGGAAGCTGAACCTTTGGGTTTCCAGGTAAATCAAAACTGGAATGGAAACTGAAGCAGTTTGAAGCCATATAAAAGATCCTCAGCGATAGGGTTAGGGTTAGGTGTGTTGAGTCGATGCTGCAGAGCTGTGTTGAGTCGATGCTGCAGAGCAGGCAGGCTGAAGGAACTTGAGACTGAATTTGGAAGCAGGAATAGCGAAAAGATAAGAAGTTGAATTTTCCCCAAAAAAGCAGCTAGGTATAAATTTTGGGGAATTTCATAGAGGGCTTCTCTCTGTGAACTCGAACGAGTTCTCCCACAATTCTATGCAGCTTGCCTCATTCATTATGCACCATGTTGCTATGGTGCCCTACTCTCACTAGGATGTGCTCACCAGCTGCGGAGATACTTACCACTTCCAGGACCTCTGGGGATTCCTGGTGCTGGCACCATTTCTAAAACACAGCTACATGCCAGGTCAAGAAGTTATGAGGGCACATAAGTGGCAGTGGTAACACTTCATTTAAATACGTTATCAGCTGGATAACTCACTCATGCTAGAATTGCAGCAGATGTTATTCCTGCACAAGTCAGATATCAGAATGAAATTTGGCTGGATAGGTCATGTTTTGTTTATCTTGGT